TACCTTAACCAAAATCAAAGTAGACTATCACTCACCCACACCAGATGGAAAACTCTACAGACTGTCGGTTCACATCCCATCACAAGCCAGCAAAACATCCACGAAACAAAGAAAGGTCTGTCACAGCCAAAAAATACACTCCAGACATATATATATCGGCTTTATGTCCACAGCGCTCTCACCTATCATAACTGTCCTGCTGTTTCCACCGAGAGAATCCTGAGGAAGATCAGCAACCAGGCAAATCAATCCACCAGTTAGAAATATGGCACAACTCCCCACATTCATCACTCCGCCATCCTCCAGAGCACGACATTCACCATGACGATGACTCCAAGCGCTGGCAGCATCGTTCCTTCCGTTGCTTCAAACGCACAAGCCTAGACGCTCAGCAACAGAATACCAATGCTACAAAAACAAACTCCTTTTTTTATTTTTTATTTTTTATTTGTTTTTTTACCGAAAACAAGGATTCAGGTGCATGGCCTGCATCTGGCTGTCTTTGTAACTATAATTGGGTAGCCGACAGAGTAGACAGAGTGAAAGACGTACGTGTGCCCTGAAGAAATATTGACAGGACGGATTTCCAGGTTTGTGATCCAGAGGGTACGAGATGGAAATTCATTATTTTCGAATGCAGTACCAGCAACACCCAGCCTACGGACCTGATTGAATCAGCAGCAGATCTTACATGTCGCAGCCATGTCTGACGAAAATCCACCCAGAACAAAAAGTCACTCAGTGTACTGAATGAGATCTCATCAGCACATACTATCTGTTTCCAATACCGTGTCACCGAAAGAAGGCAACATGATGACTTGATGCATCCACTCTTCTCTCCTTGGCTCCCGTCCATTCGCCTTTTTGTTCTTTTTTGGTGTGAAAAGCATCGGCGTAGGTTTTGCTAGTGGAAGTGATACGAGCAGCCCAATAGCACAGGAGGGAGTTGATTGGCATTCTCAGTAGTACCTGCAGGAGCCTCGTCAGCTTGCTGTCCCGGTAGGGCACATGCGCTCCCCGTTTCTTGTCATCGCAAAGCGCACAAATAACATTACCAAGCGCAAGGAGCCCCTTATTAATGTGAATCCCTGCAACACGACAAAAAACTCGGATCACTCTCTTCGCAATGAACCCTTCCAAGCAATATTTTCGGACCATGTACTGCAAATGGAAGGACACGTCCGTAAAGAGGCCACTGCTTTGTAAGTGCATCGCAGAGATAGGTCAGCCCAAACGTACTTGCCTTAGACAGACAGCCCGGTGCAGACCGTGCACCTAGTCTTACGGTTAAGGCAGGTGCAACTTAGTGTCCTATTTGATTATAAGGCAAAACGTTCCCAACGTGACCATCATCAAACAATTCGATGAATTAGTAGTTCGTCAACACCAAATGCCAACTGCATCTGGTCCATTACGCCGAGCCAACATCGACCGAAAAGATCTGTTCGACCAATTAAGACCCCCAGCCACATATTTGAGAGAGCAAAACTACTTTAGGGAACGTCCTTCCCATAGAAAGCAACATTACTATCGCTACACTAAAAGTAATGGAAGCAGCCTTCAATCAAGAACAATGATAAGTTCATTACTAACACAGGCGTCATGCAATGTTCGTTTCTCGACCTTCTCGAGACTGATTGATAACCATTCACATGTGTTTATCACCATACAAGAATTTTAAAAGGAGATCACCGTCGATGACAACATGTCCTTTTATGTTAAATCCACTCAAATAATGTTGTACGAACACATGACATTCCTACTACTTATATCTGGAACAATAGTAACTGTAATCCATCTGCTCATCTGCTATTATCAGAGGCAATTGCACCAGCTTTCAATCAGTGTGTGTATTGGTCATGCAGTGACAATGGTAATGCACACGGAATGGTCTGCAAGCAACGCCAAAGACTTCACAATACTAGCCGTCTTTAAACTGAATAAATCGTACGATCATTATAGCGGTATGTAGACTGAAATGTGGCCCAAATTCAGTTACGTATAATGACCGTACGTTTTATTCAAATGAAGTCGAGCAACTTGCAAGCGTCCTCCGATCAATAGCGTTCGTTCTCTCCCAGCACTTGTTGCTCCCAAGGAATAAATTGGAGCGTTGTTCAATTTAAAAAAAAAAAACGTAAAACTAAAAAATAAAAACGTAAAACTTGAAAAAAAAAAAACAGCGTTCGTTCTCTTCGTTCCTTTGATTGGAATCCACCCACGCTAGCTAAAAGTTAACATTTGAAACAAAAAGAATAATCAACAGCGTTCGTTATCTCTATTTCTCGGAGTGCAAATCACAAAACCGCAAAATGACCGACCAGATCTAGTCCTTCGCTTACAAGGATTCGATCTGGCCACTCACTTTGCGATTTTGCTGTGTTGAGGGCCAAGTCTGAGTGTGCCCTTTTTTTTCTCTGTGTTAGTGGTGCTGATAGTGTGGCCCTGAGTTTCTGCACGGGGCATTTACTCAAGGTATCATTTGAAATCACAGCGATGATAAACGATAAACAATACTAACCTTCTTGCATTCTCTGACCAACGGCATTCGTTCTCTTTATTCTCTCGGAACCAGCAAGATCGACCAGATGGAGCTTGGCCGTTAGCGAATCCCCGCCAAGGTCATCTACTTCCGTTGCCGCATCCACGGTAGCTGCCGGCTCACCCTCCGCATCTTCCTGCTTCTCCGAGGTCCCGCCATTCACCGTCATACCGTCTAACATCGTCATTGACGCCGCAGGCACTTTACGCTTTTGCTCGATCGTAATGGTGAAAATCGCATGTGAGCGACTGCACATATGAATCCAAAGACACCTCGAGGATCAGCCAGAGTGTTTAACATAGAACGATACCCAAACCATCTAAAGGCCCTATTTGATTTGCAGTAGAGGAACAAAGGCCGGCACGGACAAAGTATGTCCACTGGCCATGAGCTTGATGCGGTGGAAATGTACAAGGGACGTCTTTGCTTGGGATGGATATCTGAGTGGTTGAAGGTATCGGTCGTGGAAACTCCAGCCCCAGAATACCCATTCACGACAAAACATCCAGGGTGGTTTGACGAAGGGTGGAAGTAGAGACACAAATCGAAACGCCAGCCACGAGGGCAGCTGCCGACGGATCTGCATCGTCACAACAGCGATCCTCTGATATCCCGGCCTATTTGAGTTAAAGAGACGCATGCATGAAAGCAAATATGCATACTCCAACAGACAAGGAAAGATCGTTCTCACCAGCCGTCACCCCCCCCCTCCCCCACAACAAACCGTGAACCACTACAGCAAGCATGTCGAGAACTACTCGTTAAACTTCACCAGATTTGACTTACCTCGAATTGGAGTTCATGACTGTGCTCCCCGTCGACCGCGATAAGGAGCCTTGCTCTAGATACAAGGCCATGTCGTTAAGGGATCGAACCTCAGCTTCAATCACATTCGCCAGAGTTATTCCGCCACCCAAGGTCTCTCGGATAGTTATGGACGGCTTCTGTGGAGCGGCAACGACATCCCGATCCCGCTTGTGACCATTACCGTTCCCGTTCGCTCCATTGGCCAGGGCAGGTAGGTTGCTATCGAGCAGATCCCGGATATCCTCTTTGTGAATCTGAGTGCCACAACCAACGATGCGCCTGACAGTCAAAAGGAAAGGAATTCATCCACCAACTGCAACATTGCTCTCATC